ATATTAAATAACAATATTTTTTCTTTTCTTATTACATAGTGATATCTACGTACAACGTATGAGAGAGAGAGAGAGAATGAATTTTTAAGATTTTATAATTTTTTTGAATATAAATTATTGTTATTATAAGTATGTTACTATTTTCAAATTCAAAATTAAATTAAATATTTTTATTTTAAATTATAAAATTAACTACTAATTTATATTTAAATTAATTTATTATTACTATTATGAATATGTACCATCTTAACATTCAAATTAAATCATACTTTGTAAGTTCTAACAGATGTTTTTGTCTTTAAAATATTACTTTTACAATGTTACTATTATCTTTAAATTTAAATCAAATTAATATTATTTTATATATCAATTTAATTTTATTATAATTTAATTTTATTAAAAATATAATAAAATAAATTTAATGTATATAAAAAATAATTATTACTTCATGCATTTATAGATACTTAAATGCTAGTTTGGTATTAAATAAAGTCTCAGCTAACAAAAAAATAAAATAAAGTCTGCTTTTGGATTCTTGTATATGAAAAAGTCCCCCCAAAAATGACAATAGTATGTTCCGAGTATTTTGTCAATATATAAATTCTTTGCAAGCCACAGCCAATTAACTTTGCCGCCAGGAAGTTTCCTACAGCGTAGAAGGGAGAAACTAAATGTTAAATAATTTGTTGATCATTAATGCTTAGAGGCTTCCATTACTTGGAAAATAATACGCGTTTCATCAACACATTTCATGAATCTTTCCAAGAAATAATCCCCTAGCGACTTTGTTAAGAAAACCTCATAAAATATTGAGCAAAAATTCCCTATATATACATCGAGATATTCGAAGTTGGTGCAAAAATACCTCAAAGCATGATCTCTAAATAGTTTTCGTAGATATGGATGTTAATCTAGACAGGATATTAATACCTGTAATTTTGTGCATAGTTGGAATCTCGCTTCACAATTCTACGTCATCAACATCTTTTCTAGTGTTTTTCGTGATTAACACAATAATTTTTGTCATTCTTGTGGGAAGTCGTAAGCCATATTTAGCAGAAGTTGACATGGCTTTGCCTCTATTTCCATCTTTTTCGGAAGTAAGGGGAGAAACACAAGGTGACATCTTGGAGGATGCAACGGATGAAAAAGTTGATGAAAGTGATGACGTGTATAGTAAATTTCTTGGTGATATTAAAGATGAAAGTGTGGATAATGTTGATGACAAGGCTTTGCCTTTACTTCCATCTTTTTTTGAAGTAAGGGGAGAAGCACAAGGTGGTTTCTTAGAGAATGCAATTGATGATAAAGTTGATGAAAGTGATGATGGTGCACATAGTAAAGATGAAAGTGAGGACAATGTTGATGAAATTATAAGGCAAGAGCAAGAAGAATCCGATGACAATCTTAAGACAAGAATTGAAAGCTTCATTGCCAAGGTCTACAATGGATGGATTGAGGAGAGCCATTGGGATAAATATGGCATAGATATATGAATTCTAAGTGAAACTTATTGTTTTGGGTCTAGTTTTTTTTTCTTCTAAATTCTTGCTTCCGAGGCTCATCCAATTTTTCATATGTTTACTTGTTACGCACGAAGTAGATCATACAATAAGCTCTTACATTTAAAAAGGAAAAAATAAAAAAATAAAAAGGCAACTCATTTGCTGCATATATATTTGTCATGCATTTAATTTATAAATTTATTAATGTACAAGTTAGGATTTGTTCGGATAAAAATTTTCATAAATACTTTTAAGAGAAAAAAAATGAAATAGTTTATGTATAAACTAATTTTCGTTTATAGAGAAAATTATTTTTTTTCTTATTTTTTCTAAAACTACTTTTAAAGAATTTTATCTAAATAGATTCATAAACTATGGGCACATTTGAATAAACTCTTTCAAAAACATATTTATAGGAAAAGAAAATTAAAAAAATAAAATTAACTTTTTCACAAGTTAAACTTAATTTATACATAAATAAATTTAGATGAACTAATATGAAAGAACTTTATAAGTTAACTTATACATAAGTTAATTTTGACTCTTGGAAAAACTAATTTTATTTTTTCTCTTATAAATACTTGTAAAAAAAAGTTTAACCGAATATTATAAGAATTTTCAGCGTGTTTGATTCTTTGAATGACGCCAACAAAACATTTTCAATAGAAATTACAATTGTCAGCTTCTACATGACACAAATCCGAGTTGATGCAACGAGTGAGTAAACGCACTATAAATTTAAGGACTATATTTTTTGGGAATTAAATTACGTATTTGTTCATAGAATATCATTGACAAATATTAATACCAATTTAAGTAATGTTTAGGACGGAGGGATTCAGAGAAAAAGAAAGTGTGATTTATTTTTTTTCTTCTTTTTAATCAAAGGAATTATTATTATTATGAAAGTCACCCAATGCAAAATGTACATTGACGTTAAAAATAAAGTTTGTGCAAAGTGCACATTCAAAACACAAACCATATACAAATATAGAATAGTCATGATACGTGATCGCAAAACCTCAACAACTAATGCAGAACTTACTACTATAATTATGAAGAAGAAAAAAAACATTTTTCACAAACATTCAAAACTCATCAAATGCATAACATGATTCCACAAATGACAAAATCATAACAGTAACATCATCCGGCCATCACCAGAATTGTGAAATTCTTATTTGTTTATTTATTGTATATAAACACGATTTATACGGTATCACAAAACTGATAAGTAATAACTAAGGACTAAAAGTTCTTATTTTAAATAAATATCATCAAATTAATTTAATATTTTAAAATAAAATAAAAATGATAAATTATCGTGAAATATTTTATGCATCTCTCACGGAATATTTGACATACATTGTAAGAAATGTTACATATAGTGACATATAAAAAATGTCACTATAAATACATTTTATATAGGCATATATATATGTGACATATAACTGCATATAATTTTAGTCTTGATTTTAAATGAAATTTAATAACATATTTTGTATGTTACTATAGCTTATGTTCATACTTTTTAATAATATACTAACATGTATTGTATTTATTAGATAGGTAAAAGTAGTTTTTAGTGATAATTTTTGTGTCACTATAGAATACGTGTTACTATATGATAATTTTCTTGTAGTGATACAGAACATTTTTCATATTTGAGAATCATGATTCATGAGAATTATAAATCTTAAGAATCATAATTTTTATGAATGATTAAAATTTATTTAATTGATCATAAATATTTTAAGGAATGTTTATAAATGTTGCATAATAATTAAAGATTTTTATTATATTAAATAAATAAATAAAAATAGCATTTTTATCACATCATAACTTTATTTTTAAATGTTGCATTGTAAGAAACCTATGTAAAAGTCATTAGAAACTTATTTTTTGAGAAACTAAATATGAAAACTAACACTCCTAATATTGAATTTTTGGAAAAGTAAAAACTTTACATAAACCAAATGTCCCACTATTGATTTTTTTTATCACCAATTTTTATTATTATTTTAAAGTTTAAATATGTTTTTAATCCCTTATATTTAAGGTACATTTATTTTTATTCTTTCAAATTTGAAATTGATCTTTTTAGATGTCCTTGTAATTTCAAAAAATCTTGTTTTAGTCTTTATATTCAAAATTTATTAAAAAATTTATTAAATATTATTACATAAATTATATATATATATGGAAGAGGGATCTGTTTACTCCAGGAGTAAGTCTACCTAAACTTACTCCGTTCAATAACTCATGTTCTACATCAAATTTCAACGATTCAACTGTTGAATTTAAAGTTCTTAATGCATAAATCAAGTTTGTAAATTTTTTAAAATTTTGAAAATATTTGATATTCCATTTCATTAATTCAAATTCACGGATAATCATAAAATTATTTTATACATTCATTTGAATTAATGAAATAAAGTATCAAATGATTTTCAAAATTTTTAAAAATTTGCAGATTTGATCTATGCATTAAGAACTTTAAATTCAATGGTTGGATCGTTAAAATTTGATGTAGAACATGACTTATTGAATAGAATAAATTTAGATAAACTTACTCATAGAGTAAACGGATCCCTCCTTATATATATATTAGTGTCTTGTTAGTGAAAATATCACATTAAACTCAACTAGTGGTGCACAATTATCTTAATCTATTATTTTTAGATATACTATTGGTGACTTGAGAGACTAAAATGATTTTTTTTTAAATTACATAGACTAAAAATAATAATTTTAATTTTGAGGGATAAAAATAAATTTATTCTAAATTAGAGGGATTAAAAAAAATATTTAATCTTTATTTTAAAATATAAGATAACATCTTTACATTTGCCTTCAAAACCTTCCATCAAATTAGTAGTTCAATAGGAGAAATTTGTGATTTTATTCTAAGTAATAGAAATCAACAGCTTTATAATTAAGCATGGCAACAGGGCGTGGCAGGGGCAAGTTTCATGTTCCCCCCCCCTGCCCCTGCCCCCGCCCCGCCCTCGATACCTGCTAGGAGTAAAATATGGGTACCCATCCCTGTCCTCGACGGGGTTCAGGTTTCCCCGCCCCGCCCCTGCCCCCGCCCCTTGCACCGCCCCTCTTAATAAATATAATTAAAAAATTATTTATATATATATATAAACCAAAATTATAAACTTTTATATGTAAAAAATTGTATCAAGTAGGAAAAATCCGAACCCGGTAAACACAAATTTCCCTCATCTAAATCGGTGACAGGTTCAGGTAGGGGTGGGTAAACGGACCGGTCCGGCCCGTTTAAGGCCCGGTCCGTAAATCCCGCGTTTTATACGGGTCGGATAAGTCCGGTCCGTAAAATAAGTGGACTTATTTTTTAAGTCCGTATCCGGCCCGCCAAAATCCGCGGATAACGGACCGGTCCGCGGGCCTAAATAATGGTTCAAAAAAGTAAATTTTTAAAAAATAAAAATACATAAAATTAGAAGAAAAAAATATTTTTTATTTATAAGCTAAATTTTATCATACTAAAATTTATCAATAGTTAAAATGGTTTAAAATACTAAATATTAAAATATTAAAATAAAAATAATTACAAATACTTAAATAATAGTACCAAACTTTCAATAATAAAAGCATCAAAATGTCATAAAAGTAATTCAAATGACAAATACCTACCACCTAAACATAATTTTAATGTCATAATAATTTAAAAAATTAAATACACAACTTAATATTAAAATCATAATATTTAAAAATATTAATTAGTGAAGTCCGCGGACTAGCCCGCGAGCCCGCGGATTAAATCCGCTAAGTCCGCGGACTTCACGGGCCGGGCTCAAAAATTAGACATAGTCATACGGATTTGAAAAAAACGGGTCCGTTATCCGCGAAATCCGCGGACTTACGGACCGGTCCGCGGACCCGGGTCCGTCTACCCACCCCTAGGTTCAGGGGGATACTCACCGGGCCGGATTAGATTATCATGCCTATTTATAATTTTAGGTGATCCCTAAATAGGTAAAGTCAGATATACGAAAATTTGTTATCCAGATCGATCAATTTGTATTAGCTTAGTTTTTCTAAATTTTCTATGTTAACTCATGGATGATGGAACTAACTCAATCACATTTAGGTAATAGTGTTAAATAGGTCAATTTAATTCAACCTGCTTTCAATCCATTGAAATAAGATTAATTTTAGGATGAACTGCACTATTAGTGGTTCACCCTGGATAACTTTAATCCATAGTTAGATCATGTAAGTGTATAGGATCTTAACATGGACTTTTTTATATATTATCACTTCTCATCTTCTTCATTACTTTAATACTTTTTTGTTACTATTTTTCTATTATTATTGTTCCTCTGTTGTCACCTCCCTTCACTCTCTCCCCATTTTACTATTCCCTTTTCTTTCTGCCACACCTCTTGTTAGCATCTTCTCCTTACACATGTCTTCTCCCATTTGCCCTCTTTCTTTATGTGTCTTCTAAACTCATCTCTAAGCCAAAATGAAAGTGTTGTAGATGGGACAAGTGTAGTGTTTACTAGTGCGAAAATTGGATTTAAAATCGGAGTTTTAAGATCGATTACAAGGTGACCGATCTTAAAAGTGGCGCGGTGACAATTTTGTAAATAATGTGAACACTTTTAAGATCGGTTAAATTTTAATCGATTTTAAAAGTACTTTTAAGATCGGTTATTTTATGGTTGATCTTAAAAGGTATGTCTGACACAACTTTTAAGATCGGTTACAAAAGAACCAATCTTAAAAGTTGTATCAGACATAACTTTTAAGATCGGTCATAAAATAATCTATCTTAAAAGTACTTTTAAGATCGGTTATTTTATGACCGAAATCGATTATTTAAGAACCGATTTTAAAATACTTTTTAAATTGGTTATTTAAGAATCGATTTTAAAAATGCTACTTTTAAAATTGGTTATTTAAGAACTGATTTTGTATGTAGTATACAAAATTGATTCTTAAATAATCGATTTTAAAAGTATCGTCAGAAACCTTTTTATCTTTCCCTCCATTTTCATTCTCTTTGATTTTTTCCTCCATTCCTTTTTTTACTCTCTCGCGCTCTTATCTAAAGTCTCCAGCTTCTCATTCTCAAGGTAACATTCTCATGCTCTTCTCGTGTCTCTAGTTTCGTTGGTGGTTTATTCTACA